TCCTTTTCCTCCCCTCCCCCCTGCCCTTTTGGTCGCACTTGTTTCAATGGGAAAAAAGGCTCAAGGTTGGCTCAGGCAGAAGGCGACTGTCGCATTCATACGACTTTGTCATGCGCAGATGTATTCTCTCTGAGAGCAAAGCCTAGTACATCTTTGATCTACTTGATGTGTACGTAGCACCCTCTCTCTGCCTATGCATGTACTATGTATGCTTGCAGACTCTGTGCTCTTATCCCTCTCCCTCCTCCCCCTCTTGATTTGCAGCAGTTGACGTGATCCACGAGTCTGCCTGCATGTTATGATCATGCTCTTGTCATGCATAGGCTTATTCTCCTGAACATAACACACGCCCTCAAAATGAACTGATACAAACTGTCATTCCGACATGACACCCTCATAACGAGGGTGCGTTTTATTTGACGGAAGACAGGAGTTGCGCGTTTTTGCAACGATGCTGAGAGTTTTCCACATCCTTGCATGAGTCTTGTCACCTGCTTGCCACCATCATCCCGGTGTGGATACAGGCTGGGACCTGAACGGCGGATCCTTCCTTACCGTAACAGCCATACAAAGCCTGCGGACATCCGGGGACACCAAAGGCGGAGGCGGAGGCGGGTGCTCTGTGAGAGTGGTCGGGCGCCGGACCAGAGACTTGCTGTGCAGCCTCACTACCTGGGCCAGGGCGTTTCTACCCGATGTAACATGCGAACGACCTACTCGTCGCACTGCCCAAACTCACGTGACCGCATCCGGATTGTAACTTATAAACACGTGGGGTATTGTCAGGTCCAGGTGCCTGGCCGGTTGTGGTCTTTTGTTGTTTGCTTACCCACTAAATTTGCCCTCGTATTCATGCAGTGGAGGTGGGGATGGATGTGCACCTGGTTTTCATATGCTTTTCCTCAGTAGTGAAGCCTGCACTGACCACATGTTCGTTTCGCTGACAGGCTGCTGCTCATGGACTGCCAATGGTGGCAACTCAAAATGGAGGTCCTGTTGACATTCAGAAGGTTTGG